ATTCCAAGCTTCATTCAATTATCTGTCCCGACAAGCTGAATTTAAATAGGTGTTCAGTTCACAAGCTTCACCAAACGATTTCACTCAAATAGGTGCGTGACTCTATCAAAGGATGGAACAGAACTCCAGTTAGCTCTAGATTTTCCTAGTGGTTGATTTTACCATATGGTAAGGTTGGTGCATTGTTATTGCCCGTAGCTACCTTCATTAGGTGTCCCCGACTGAGCTTAAAAACCAGCCTGGTGGACATGCGCCGGGCTAGTCTCCTGTTCGAATAGGTTTTGGGTAAGCAGAATTTAGGCGAGTTGTTGGAATCCGCTTTGCGCAAGCTTTCCCGGCATTTTTTGATGACATTTATGTCTGTCAAATATTCTTTTTGTAAGGTTCGACTTAAAACGGACAAGAGGAATTCTCTTCATGGCTTACTGGGAGTTCGGCTAACTCTTCCCTTTAGAGTGAGTTTTGAACGTTCTTAGCGAAACTCTCGGCGATTGAAGGGCGGCAGCAGCGGTTCATCAAGCAGCAGCTCACCAATCTGTTTTATGATCAATCAATCCCTCGTGGGTGCAGGAGAAAGCGAAGCGTATGGGTTATTGGAAAGGTAGTGGGCACAGTAAGCATGAGTCGATTTCAGGATGACGACTGCTATGTTTAGCTTTTGTCACACAAAAACGACATTTTCTGTTCTTAACAAAGTGCGGAGTTACCTTTTCGCTTGGTTTGTTGCTTAAGCGCGTAAGCAGCATGGTCATCACTTTCTTTGATTTAATCATGCATTACGGTAATAACTCAGCGCGTAGCAAGAGCATTTAAAGTCAAAGCAGCAAGACCTCTTCTCGCAATTGACGTCTTTTTAAGACCCACCTGTCGCTAAATGCCAGATTCCAGAAAATGTCGTTTGATTCATCTAAATTCTGATATGTTTGTCAAAAAAATGGAACTTGCTTGCCCCCTACTAAACTAATTAGTATAGTAGTAGGAAAAATGCCTATCTAAAAGCCCCCCAAGCTATATGGACAGGAAATCTCGATTTCTACTTAGAGAGGATCGCTTATGGGATCGTTCTTGACACGAAATTGGCGATTGTTAGCGGACGGCTGCACCTCATCATTGCTACCCTCGAAATGAAATGAAATGAATTGGCTAGCTAGCTAGAATATGCATGTCGCTTCTCTGAGCACTTTTACTCACTACTACTTTCTTCCCGTCCCTTTTTCAATTTCAACTAAGCTTGGCACAACCGCCTAAGAAACTGCTTTCAGTCACGGTCGCGGATCAGGAGAGAGTGACTTGTGTGACGCATCTATATCTGGGGATGATCGGGTAGAACTCAGGGCTGTCAGGTGTCAATCGGGGAACGATCGATTGGGTGTCCGGGGTGCAATAAAGATAGGGGACAATACGCTTCGCCGTGCCAGCTATGAGGCTATATTCTCGTTGAGTCGGGCGCTTGGGAAGACTGTCCTGTCGGGTTGGAAAACCAACATCGGACCGGGATGTTGTTCCCTCCTTGTCTGAAAAGATTCGGGAAGAATCGGGTAAGTTCGCTCTACACTGTCCCTTAGATTGGGAAGGACATAGGCTCGGCACATTTCGTAGCTATCATCGTCGCGCTGGTTGGTAGTAAGAGCAAATTCAGGCGTTGGTACATTCTACTGGGTGGCAGCTTTTCGATACACGGCCTTGCGTTGTCGTCAGCCGTACGCCGTTGAGCAGCAGTCTTTAGAAGCATGTAATCTATGAACGATCCGATGAAACTAGAGATGGAATAAAACCTAGCTTTTCGTCACGCGAATTAGCCGCCAGTCTTTGAGGTCGCCTTCCTTGCTTGACAGTATAGCCTGCGGGTGAAATACTAGATGTCGGATTGTACATGGGAATGATAATGGTGAGGCCATTGAATGAGAAATCACGACCTTAAACACTTGCCTGTAGCTATAGTGTCAACTTGACGCGCTGAACAACTATGATCAGAATCCTTTCGGGGTCTAGCACTGAGATTTCCGCTAATTGGATCGGCCAGGGCTCGGGCTTAGTACCATGAGGTTGCAATCGGGCCACCAAGTCCATTATGTAGTCTGGGCTGCCTGTCCTTCTCAAGGAGTGGACGGGGCATAGAACATGTTCGTTTTCCGATCGGGGATTGGTCTGTAGTCCTAGTTTTCGTCGTGCGATGATGTAGATGGGGGTATAGCCTCTGAAGCGTCTACAACTAGTTATAGTCGACCTTCTCTTGACCTGAACTCTCGTATAGGTGAACTTGTTTTGTTCAATTCTTAGGAAGAAGAAGGATCCACTGGGAATGGTAGGGCTCCCTCGATGGTAACGCGCTATAGCCTTTTAGGAGAATCAGCTCGCCTAGTTGACAAGGAGTCTGCTCGTCAATTTGACGGGTTGATTACTGTCACAGTAATCAACCCGTCAAATTGACGAGCAGACTCCTTGTCAACTAGGCGAGCTGATTCTCCTAAAAGGCTATAGCGCGTTACCATCGAGGGAGCCCTACCATTCCCAGTGGATCCTTCTTCTTCCTAAGAATTGAACAAAACAAGTTCACCTATACGAGAGTTCAGGTCAAGAGAAGGTCGACTATAACTAGTTGTAGACGCTTCAGAGGCTATACCCCCATCTACATCATCGCACGACGAAAACTAGGACTACAGACCAATCCCCGATCGGAAAACGAACATGTTCTATGCCCCGTCCACTCCTTGAGAAGGACAGGCAGCCCAGACTACATAATGGACTTGGTGGCCCGATTGCAACCTCATGGTACTAAGCCCGAGCCCTGGCCGATCCAATTAGCGGAAATCTCAGTGCTAGACCCCGAAAGGATTCTGATCATAGTTGTTCAGCGCGTCAAGTTGACACTATAGCTACAGGCAAGTGTTTAAGGTCGTGATTTCTCATTCAATGGCCTCACCATTATCATTCCCATGTACAATCCGACATCTAGTATTTCACCCGCAGGCTATACTGTCAAGCAAGGAAGGCGACCTCAAAGACTGGCGGCTAATTCGCGTGACGAAAAGCTAGGTTTTATTCCATCTCTAGTTTCATCGGATCGTTCATAGATTACATGCTTCTAAAGACTGCTGCTCAACGGCGTACGGCTGACGACAACGCAAGGCCGTGTATCGAAAAGCTGCCACCCAGTAGAATGTACCAACGCCTGAATTTGCTCTTACTACCAACCAGCGCGACGATGATAGCTACGAAATGTGCCGAGCCTATGTCCTTCCCAATCTAAGGGACAGTGTAGAGCGAACTTACCCGATTCTTCCCGAATCTTTTCAGACAAGGAGGGAACAACATCCCGGTCCGATGTTGGTTTTCCAACCCGACAGGACAGTCTTCCCAAGCGCCCGACTCAACGAGAATATAGCCTCATAGCTGGCACGGCGAAGCGTATTGTCCCCTATCTTTATTGCACCCCGGACACCCAATCGATCGTTCCCCGATTGACACCTGACAGCCCTGAGTTCTACCCGATCATCCCCAGATATAGATGCGTCACACAAGTCACTCTCTCCTGATCCGCGACCGTGACTGAAAGCAGTTTCTTAGGCGGTTGTGCCAAGCTTAGTTGAAATTGAAAAAGGGACGGGAAGAAAGTAGTAGTGAGTAAAAGTGCTCAGAGAAGCGACATGCATATTCTAGCTAGCTAGCCAATTCATTTCATTTCATTTCGAGGGTAGCAATGATGAGGTGCAGCCGTCCGCTAACAATCGCCAATTTCGTGTCAAGAACGATCCCATAAGCGATCCTCTCTAAGTAGAAATCGAGATTTCCTGTCCATATAGCTTGGGGGGCTTTTAGATAGGCATTTTTCCTACTACTATACTAATTAGTTTAGTAGGGGGCAAGCAAGTTCCATTTTTTTGACAAACATATCAGAATTTAGATGAATCAAACGACATTTTCTGGAATCTGGCATTTAGCGACAGGTGGGTCTTAAAAAGACGTCAATTGCGAGAAGAGGTCTTGCTGCTTTGACTTTAAATGCTCTTGCTACGCGCTGAGTTATTACCGTAATGCATGATTAAATCAAAGAAAGTGATGACCATGCTGCTTACGCGCTTAAGCAACAAACCAAGCGAAAAGGTAACTCCGCACTTTGTTAAGAACAGAAAATGTCGTTTTTGTGTGACAAAAGCTAAACATAGCAGTCGTCATCCTGAAATCGACTCATGCTTACTGTGCCCACTACCTTTCCAATAACCCATACGCTTCGCTTTCTCCTGCACCCACGAGGGATTGATTGATCATAAAACAGATTGGTGAGCTGCTGCTTGATGAACCGCTGCTGCCGCCCTTCAATCGCCGAGAGTTTCGCTAAGAACGTTCAAAACTCACTCTAAAGGGAAGAGTTAGCCGAACTCCCAGTAAGCCATGAAGAGAATTCCTCTTGTCCGTTTTAAGTCGAACCTTACAAAAAGAATATTTGACAGACATAAATGTCATCAAAAAATGCCGGGAAAGCTTGCGCAAAGCGGATTCCAACAACTCGCCTAAATTCTGCTTACCCAAAACCTATTCGAACAGGAGACTAGCCCGGCGCATGTCCACCAGGCTGGTTTTTAAGCTCAGTCGGGGACACCTAATGAAGGTAGCTACGGGCAATAACAATGCACCAACCTTACCATATGGTAAAATCAACCACTAGGAAAATCTAGAGCTAACTGGAGTTCTGTTCCATCCTTTGATAGAGTCACGCACCTATTTGAGTGAAATCGTTTGGTGAAGCTTGTGAACTGAACACCTATTTAAATTCAGCTTGTCGGGACAGATAATTGAATGAAGCTTGGAATGAATTCATTAATAAATGAAATGAAGACAATACGACAGAGCAAAATCTAGCAACTTTTGAATCTTTCTTGCCAAGCGGCTTCATTCGGGTCCTCCAGTAAGGGGGGTAAAGTAGCGTCTACTAGCACAGGAAGTCGCTATCCAACCGCAGGTTGGTTTCAGCGCACTTAGTCGTCCCGTAAGAAGCTGCTGCTTGGCTAACCCGCTCGCTGCTGCAGTGCTCAGTGTCGGTCATGTATTCTGTGTGGGCTCAGAGTTCCCCCTCCTTTTTGGAGGGAGGTGCCCTCTGATCCCGCTCGGGGTTTATTCCCTTCGCTCGCAGCCCACTTGAACAATCAGCAGGCAGATTTCTCGTAGAATGAAGATCCAGCTTGACTCTAAGGACGAGGCAACTAGCTATTATCGCGAGGGTGTTAGCGACTCCGATTTTGATGATCGTATACGATTGACCAGGCCTTCGCCGCAGGCGGGTGCAAACTGTCGGGTATCATGTACGGCTGCCCGCGAGAGCCTTGACAAAAGAAAAGAAAAGTATGTTTGATAAGGCGTTGGTTCGGCATCTACTACAAAAGGAGGTCGCTCTTCGCGAAAAAGAACGTACGGTACGGACATTTAGCGTAGATAAGGAGCGCGGCGATCGTAAGCTATAGGGGAGGTGAGGCGAACGACGAAGAGCTAGTGAGTGGGTAAGACAAGGTGTAGCGCAGTCTGGTCAGCGCATCTGTTTAGGTTCGAATCCTTTCACCTTGGTGTGGCGAATTGTAAGAAAAATTGGGAGTAGTTCCCTATGGAAGAGTTATTAAAAGTTGTGGAACCTTTTATTCAGGCAAGTTCGGATTTAAATAGTTCTTATTCCGGGTCCAAGATTCTTTCCTCAACGGAGATGGTTCAAACATATGAAATCGGACATTCTTCAGATGTCACAGCTTCTTAGGTATATCAAAAAAGTCCAGGCAAGGGTATCGTGCTATCTTCCGACAGCACATTTCAGATCACAGGATACAGCTGAAAAACGCTAGGAGCTAACTAGCTCCTAGCGTTTTTCAGCTGTATCCTGTGATCTGAAATGTGCTGTCGGAAGATAGCACGATACCCTTGCCTGGACTTTTTTGATATACCTAAGAAGCTGTGACATCTGAAGAATGTCCGATTCATATGTTTGAACCATCTCCGTTGAGGAAAGAATCTTGGACCCGGAATAAGAACTATTTAAATCCGAACTTGCCTGAATAAAAGGTTCCACAACTTTTAATAACTCTTCCATAGGGAACTACTCCCAATTTTTCTTACAATTCGCCACACCAAGGTGAAAGGATTCGAACCTAAACAGATGCGCTGACCAGACTGCGCTACACCTTGTCTTACCCACTCACTAGCTCTTCGTCGTTCGCCTCACCTCCCCTATAGCTTACGATCGCCGCGCTCCTTATCTACGCTAAATGTCCGTACCGTACGTTCTTTTTCGCGAAGAGCGACCTCCTTTGTAGTAGATGCCGAACCAACGCCTTATCAAACATACTTTTCTTTTCTTTGTCAAGGCTCTCGCGGGCAGCCGTACATGATACCCGACAGTTTGCACCCGCCTGCGGCGAAGGCCTGGTCAATCGTATACGATCATCAAAATCGGAGTCGCTAACACCCTCGCGATAATAGCTAGTTGCCTCGTCCTTAGAGTCAAGCTGGATCTTCATTCTACGAGAAATCTGCCTGCTGATTGTTCAAGTGGGCTGCGAGCGAAGGGAATAAACCCCGAGCGGGATCAGAGGGCACCTCCCTCCAAAAAGGAGGGGGAACTCTGAGCCCACACAGAATACATGACCGACACTGAGCACTGCAGCAGCGAGCGGGTTAGCCAAGCAGCAGCTTCTTACGGGACGACTAAGTGCGCTGAAACCAACCTGCGGTTGGATAGCGACTTCCTGTGCTAGTAGACGCTACTTTACCCCCTTACTGGAGGACCCGAATGAAGCCGCTGGCAAGAAAGATTCAAAAGTTGCTAGATTTTGCTCTGTCGTATTGTCTTCATTTCATTTATTAATGAATTCATTCCAAGCTTCATTCAATTATCTGTCCCGACAAGCTGAATTTAAATAGGTGTTCAGTTCACAAGCTTCACCAAACGATTTCACTCAAATAGGTGCGTGACTCTATCAAAGGATGGAACAGAACTCCAGTTAGCTCTAGATTTCCTAGTGGTTGATTTTACCATATGGTAAGGTTGGTGCATTGTTATTGCCCGTAGCTACCTTCATTAGGTGTCCCCGACTGAGCTTAAAAACCAGCCTGGTGGACATGCGCCGGGCTAGTCTCCTGTTCGAATAGGTTTTGGGTAAGCAGAATTTAGGCGAGTTGTTGGAATCCGCTTTGCGCAAGCTTTCCCGGCATTTTTGATGACATTTATGTCTGTCAAATATTCTTTTTGTAAGGTTCGACTTAAAACGGACAAGAGGAATTCTCTTCATGGCTTACTGGGAGTTCGGCTAACTCTTCCCTTTAGAGTGAGTTTTGAACGTTCTTAGCGAAACTCTCGGCGATTGAAGGGCGGCAGCAGCGGTTCATCAAGCAGCAGCTCACCAATCTGTTTTATGATCAATCAATCCCTCGTGGGTGCAGGAGAAAGCGAAGCGTATGGGTTATTGGAAAGGTAGTGGGCACAGTAAGCATGAGTCGATTTCAGGATGACGACTGCTATGTTTAGCTTTTGTCACACAAAAACGACATTTTCTGTTCTTAACAAAGTGCGGAGTTACCTTTTCGCTTGGTTTGTTGCTTAAGCGCGTAAGCAGCATGGTCATCACTTTCTTTGATTTAATCATGCATTACGGTAATAACTCAGCGCGTAGCAAGAGCATTTAAAGTCAAAGCAGCAAGACCTCTTCTCGCAATTGACGTCTTTTTAAGACCCACCTGTCGCTAAATGCCAGATTCCAGAAAATGTCGTTTGATTCATCTAAATTCTGATATGTTTGTCAAAAAAATGGAACTTGCTTGCCCCCTACTAAACTAATTAGTATAGTAGTAGGAAAAATGCCTATCTAAAAGCCCCCCAAGCTATATGGACAGGAAATCTCGATTTCTACTTAGAGAGGATCGCTTATGGGATCGTTCTTGACACGAAATTGGCGATTGTTAGCGGACGGCTGCACCTCATCATTGCTACCCTCGAAATGAAATGAAATGAATTGGCTAGCTAGCTAGAATATGCATGTCGCTTCTCTGAGCACTTTTACTCACTACTACTTTCTTCCCGTCCCTTTTTCAATTTCAACTAAGCTTGGCACAACCGCCTAAGAAACTGCTTTCAGTCACGGTCGCGGATCAGGAGAGAGTGACTTGTGTGACGCATCTATATCTGGGGATGATCGGGTAGAACTCAGGGCTGTCAGGTGTCAATCGGGGAACGATCGATTGGGTGTCCGGGGTGCAATAAAGATAGGGGACAATACGCTTCGCCGTGCCAGCTATGAGGCTATATTCTCGTTGAGTCGGGCGCTTGGGAAGACTGTCCTGTCGGGTTGGAAAACCAACATCGGACCGGGATGTTGTTCCCTCCTTGTCTGAAAAGATTCGGGAAGAATCGGGTAAGTTCGCTCTACACTGTCCCTTAGATGGGAAGGACATAGGCTCGGCACATTTCGTAGCTATCATCGTCGCGCTGGTTGGTAGTAAGAGCAAATTCAGGCGTTGGTACATTCTACTGGGTGGCAGCTTTTCGATACACGGCTTGCGTTGTCGTCAGCCGTACGCCGTTGAGCAGCAGTCTTTAGAAGCATGTAATCTATGAACGATCCGATGAAACTAGAGATGGAATAAAACCTAGCTTTTCGTCACGCGAATTAGCCGCCAGTCTTTGAGGTCGCCTTCCTTGCTTGACAGTATAGCCTGCGGGTGAAATACTAGATGTCGGATTGTACATGGGAATGATAATGGTGAGGCCATGAATGAGAAATCACGACCTTAAACACTTGCCTGTAGCTATAGTGTCAACTTGACGCGCTGAACAACTATGATCAGAATCCTTCGGGGTATAGCACTGA